CGCTCGCCACTAACGTCGCTAAGCAACTCGTATTGTTGCAGACGGGCTTTGGCAGCCGGGCAGCGTACTCGCCGGGTCGAGCAACTCGTGTTGTTGCCGATCGGTGCCGTAAATAGTCTGGTATTGCTATTGGCACGGGGTTTGTTTTTTTATTTGGGATCGGTTTCTGTTCTTGCTCATGCGGATAAACTCGTGCTACGTCGCTTGGCCTCTACGAACATTGCAGTTCAAGGTGGCTGTCCTGCGCGGCTGGGAGGTGCATTCGGTGCTCTCCTTTGTTCGCGTTGGCCAGGGCAGCACGCGGCTCCAAGACTTCTCGAAGTTAGGTCGCTATGCTATACCTGGCCACAGGCACTTGTGTTTTAGTCTCAGGTAAAAGCTAACATGTTTGAAAAATAACAATGTTGGCAAGCCTGCCCGATTGCAGCCCTGCATCGTTTCAATATCACAAGAAAGGACAGGGTGGTGCATTTGACATTTCATTGCGCCCGCAAATCGAAGCGATTAGGCATCGTTAGCAAAAGCAGCTACAAAGGACTTTGCCTCGTCGAACTGTCACCAACAAATCCATTGTCCGGGGTGATGCGAGTCAGCTTGGTATGTGTACATCCGTGTTCATATTAAGCGGAGTCGTGGAACTATTTTCACAATAACTTCGCGAGCCGAGCCAGTGCGATGCACGTGACTCACGGCAGAAAAGACATCTTTGTCTCTGCCTCTTTTTTATCTCTGGGGCCTTGTGCACCCAGATTGGTCGAGTGTCCTCAGTTGGACGGCTCCACCTTGCTCGGAATTTCCGAAGCTTCCTTCTTGGGGAACGAAACGGGAGAGGGGGGCAGAGCGCAGGCGGCATTCCAGTTCCCGGCGGTTCCTGGGTCATGGTTCCACACCGAAGTGGCATTGACGCCAGGGAGCGTCATCGTCGCCGTCGCCGGCCTGCCTGTCCAGATCCGGCTCCTCGGCTGCTGGCCAAGATGGCGGCAGCCATCCTCCCCCTGCCTGGACTCGTCTCCAGGCCAGCAACACGTGGCATCTCGTCGCAGACCCAAGCTGTGGACCCGTGCCGACAGCAAGCAGCTCGCATCCCGTCACGGATCCGGTGACAGTGCCCGTGCCATTGGTGCATCCCCAGGGAGAGACGCCCAGCCGCCGTACTTTCCGCGGTTCTTCGGACATTTCGTCGTGGAGTGAACAGGCCGTCCTCCCTGCCCAAGCCAGACCACGCGGACCATTTCAACGTTACTCCCGGTAAGCCTGCCAAGAAGCGTGGGCTGCAGAGTTCGGCTGCACCCGGGGTCCATTGTCAAGCAGCGAGCTAGTGCTTTTTCAGCATGTACCGCGCTGATCGTTTTTTTATTTCTTTGTTTTTCTTCGCGGCATGCTCTTTCGCTCTAGCGTTTCGTTTTTTTTTTTTTTTTTTGTTTTTGAGAGCCGGTAGGCCATTTTATTTTTAGGCCTACCTTAGCCTTGAGAAGGGGGGAGTGTGGGAACCATTGGGTTCCCTCTATCTCTATCCAGGCCTAGCTTCAAGCAGGCCGTGGGAGTCGTCGTCACCAATGGCGTCGGCCTCCCGGATACAAGGAACCACGAGGCCGAATTTCCCGAAGGGGCCGGCTCTCCCTTGCCCATTTGGGTGAACGCGCCTTCGGCACACTCTTGAGAGCTATGATGGACGCGACTGCTAGTGGCCTCCCCGGGCGCGTCCATTCTCCGAAGCTACATAAGCTGGCCCCGAAGGTGGGCCAGGGGCTCTCGTCGGCGGAGGCCCTGGCTCTACGGAGCTCGGTTTTTCTTTGTGGGCCTCCGACTTCCCGTGAATCTGTCTAATGCGGCAGCGCGGGAAACCGACCGGGTGATACTGGCAATTGAGCCAGCGCCCAGACTTTTGATTGTCTAAGAGCGAAGCGTGTTGGCATTGCAGCCAATAAACACGTCTTTATCCGGACCCATGGAACCTTTGTGTTTCTAAGTGGTACACCCTCAAAGAGGAAAATCCCACATCTGGCGCCCCAACGTGCGGCTTTCCGTGGACTGCAAAGACAGCCGCATCCATCTCCTTTCCCTAAGATAGCGAACCAGGTCAATTTCCGGCCAAGGATCAAACAGGTGGACAAAGGGAGAGGCGAACGCCCGACACCCAACGCCACTTAACGGCTTAGTGGCCACGCACGGACACAATGCAGTGTCTTTTCAGCCGAGCTCGCTTCCAAACGGAGGTGACTAAACGCCCGGAATACGTCCGAGGCATTCCCTTTCGGGACGACGCCAGCCTACTTCGCTGGGGAGGCGCACCTGCGCTTTTCGAGGTCAAGCCCGTTCTCGAACAAAGCACGGTGACGCAACACGAAGCAAGTGCAGCTTTTTGCCTTCGAGACGGCTCGCGGGGCCCACCCAGAGTGGACACCCCGTCAGCGCACAAACTAAAAGCGTATCTCGGAGCGAGAAAATGCGCTGTGCCTGCAACACCGGTCCCAGTCTAGCGAGGTTGCGGAGACCGCCGATGGTGCCCTTCGTCGCCGCGTCGACGGACCAGTAGCCATCAGGTTGACCAAGCGACCCCGGAACAAAGGCCCCCCGGGAAAACTGAGTGAGTCAAAATGATTTCCTTTTTACTCCGCCTTTCCTTCCCGCTATCAAGGGACAGAGGACTGGCGTGAGCATGGTTTTCGGCTACTAGAATTTAGTATGTTCCGTTTACCCGCGATCGACTCCGGCCAAAAGTCAGTGAGCGTCGCACGCAACAATAACGTTAGGAACCCTTGAGGGCCACCTATCGAGTTGCGACCCCGTAAAAGCGACGTTAATTGTGGAAACGCCGCGGGGTCCGGGAGCAGTTCAATCGTGCTACCGGGCAGTGCAACAGGTTGAACTGCGTCCCGAGATGATTGCGTGTCCGATTAAGGTAACCGCCATGCGGTCACTGGACGAGATCGTGAGCCGCGGAACTCGAAGTGTTCGTTGGGAATCGACGGTAGCACCGATGAGTTTTTGATGCCCAGCAGAACGATCCGGGGTGTAAATATGTGAATAGTTGTAAATACTTTCGCGGACTCTGCGGAGTCGGGCGGTGCGTCCGCCGGGCGGTACGCTCGCCACTAACGTCGCTAAGCAACTCGTATTGTTGTAGACGGGCTTTGGCAGCCGGGCAGCGTACTCGCCGGGTCGAGCAACTCGTGTTGTTGCCGATCGGTGCCGTAAATAGTCTTGTATTGCTATTGGCACGGGGTTTCTTTTTTTATTTGGGATCGGTTTCTGTTCTTGCTGATGCGGATAAACTCGTGCTACGTCGCTTGGCCTCTACGAACATTGCAGTTCAAGGTGGCTGTCCTGCGCGGCTGGGAGGTGCATTCGGTGCTCTCCTTTGTTCGCGTTGGCCAGGGCAGCACGCGGCTCCAAGACTTCTCGAAGTTAGGTCGCTGTGCTATACCTGGCCACAGGCACTTGTGTTTTAGTCTCAGGTAAAAGCTAACATGTTTGAAAAATAACAATGTTGGCGAGCCTGCCCGATTGCAGCCCTGCATCGTTTCAATATCACAAGAAAGGACAGGGTGGTGCATTTGACACTTCATTGCGCCCGCAAACCGAAGCGATTAGGCATCGTTAGCAAAAGCAGCTACAAAGAACTTTGCCTAGTCGATCAGTCACCAACAAATCAATTGTCCGGGGTGACGCAGGTCAGCTTGGTATGTGGACATCCGTGTTCACATTAAGCGGAGTCGTGGAACTATTTTCTCAATAACTTCGCGAGCCGAGCCAGTGCGATGCACGTGACTCACGGCAGAAAAGACACTTTTGTCTCTGCCTCTTTTTATCTCTGGGACCTTTTGCACCCAGAGATTGGTCGAGTGTCCTCAGTTGGACGGCTACCTTGCTCGGAATTTCCGAAGCTTCCTTCTTGGGGAACGAAACGGGAGAGGGGGGCAGAGCGCAGGCGGCATTCCAGTTCCCGGCGGTTCCTGGGTCATGGTTCCACACCGAAGCGGCATTGACGCCAGGGAGCGTCATCGTCGCCGTCGCCGGCCGGCCAGTGTTGCCAGATTGGGCTATATATAGCCAAATTGGGCTACATTTTTTTCTAGTTGGCGTCAAAATTTCGGGCTTGGCTATGTGGCTATTTTTGGGCTATTTCTAAAAAGGCGGCGAACTTTTGTCGACCTCAGGTTCGCCGTCGAATTTTGAGGTTCGACTAGCTAATTTTCGAACTTCTTATCAGTTTCGAAAAAAATTCTTTCTCTTTCGGCCAGTCGAGAGGAGAGAGAGGAAGGAGAAAGGCTTCAAACTTCTAAAAGCTTCGAGGTTTTCACAATGCGCAGAGATGCAATGCTTGCAAAGTTGAAGCGGTCTCCCCACAGCCCACAGCGCACTGGAGGCCCGGTAGCTTGTCTTCTACCCGGACCTAGACTGAAATCTCCAAATGCTGCTTCGGTGCCTATTGTGAGAAAGCACCCAAGGTCGTAAAAATGAGAATTCCGCGCCAGCAGTCACCTACCGCAAACAAGCACAACAGAATCAGAAGTAGCGTGAACCGGAATCTGCTTCTTTATTCTTTTCTTTTACTGTATGATCATATCCCCTCTAGGGCTTCACAATAAAGCTGTCTTTGTGTATTTTGTATTTCATAAAACCTATTTGTCTTTCTCCCAGAAGCCACTTTTAGAAGATTTTTGGATCATTGTCTTATCTTCCTAAGAAAGCTTGGGTTTACAATAACTCTAATTGGTTTAGGGTTCGTGGGTGAATCATCCACCTACCGCCGCCACCTCTTTCCGTAAGGTCGGACTGCGTTCATCTGGTGGACAAAAGAAATTCAAAGAAAACTATGTAGATATTATTTGAAGTTAGTTTGGTTGTAAGGTCGGTCTACACTACACAGCGCATTCCTATACACCCCGAATGATCCCTTTGTGATGGAGTGAAAGTCTCCTGGCTATATAAGGCTGCCAGCTAGCACATCGAGGCCAGATGCAGATCGTCATTTTGTCACAACGTCTGCGTCAGCTATGGGCAAATGGGCGAAGTACTCGAGGTCCTACAAGAAGGAATGGGAGAGAGACCCAGATTTCAAAGGTATGTGTGCCATGATAATCATTCGTTTATTTCATCGTATATATGTGTCCATTGCTTGCTTTTTGCCTCATTATTGAGCTTACATTTGGTTGAAATCAGGTTGATCTGTGGTGGAATATTTCTATTGTGTGTGCAGATTGGCTGATGCAGTCATCGTCTGGAGACATGGCATATTGTCGCGTATGCAAGGCCGAGCTACGGTCACATGTGCAGGACCTGAAAGCCCACAAAACCAGGGCAAAACATCAAAGAAACATGCAGCTTGCTGCAGCAGCCATTCGACCTGGACCACTGTACAACTTCGTTCAGTTGGAGCTCCGGACCCAGAGCCAGCAAGCAAATCGCCAACTCAAGACGGTCGAGCTCCGCCTGGCTGCCCATGTTGCCGTCCACAGCTTGATCATGACGGCAGACCATCTGACTCCCTTGCTGAAGAACTGCTTCAAGGACTCTGTGACTGCGGCTGCCCTGTCTATGGGCTGCACGAAATGCACATCGCTCATTACCAAGGTACCTGGACCAACATTTAAAGAAATTATACTCAGTGACATGAAGGCGTGCAAGTACTCTCTTCTACTTGACGAGAGCACAGATGTGTCTGCCACTAAGGAACTCGCTGTCGTGTCGAGGCACTATTCTAGGAAAACAAACTCTTTTTGCACGTCATTCTTGGGCCTTGTGCCTATTTACGACGCGACGCCTGGAGGCTTATTTTCGAGTTTAAGTAGATTTCTTTCATCCTGTGACCTCGCTCTAGAAAATTGCGTTGGCATTGGCACTGACGGCGCTAATGTTATGTGTGGGCGAAACAACAGCCTGTTCACTCGCATGAAAGAAGTTAACAGTGGCCTAATATTGGTTAGGTGCGTTTGTCACTCGTTGCACCTTGCGTGCAACGAAGCGGTTTCTGTTTTGCCCACACAAGTTGATTTTCTTGTACGTGAATGCTTCAACTGGTTCGCTCACTCGCCTAAACGGCAGCAGGAGTATCACGCTGTGTTCGCTGCCATCAATTCTGGTGACAGGCCCAAGAATTTAGTCGGGCTGTCTGGCACGCGGTGGCTTAGTATTGCGGGCGCCATTCGTGCGGTCCTTGACCAATGGGTAGAATTGAAGACTCATTTTGAGTTTGCAAAAACAACAGAGCGCTGCTATACAGCTAAAGTGCTTAGCGACATGTTCAATGATGACCTTAACCTGCTGCTGTTGAAGTTCCTCAGCCCTATCATTGACGAGTTTGACCGCATAAACAAATTGTTTCAGAGCGAGAATCCGGACCCGTCTAAGTTGTACAGTGACTTGCTGTCGTTCGTGAAGTGTCTGATGTTGCGTGTCGTCTTGCCCAATCATGCGTCGCCCGGATCGGACTGGGAAGCGCACATCATGCACGCTCGAGGCTGTGACATGGGCGGAGTGTTTCGGGATAGTCTAGAAAGGTCCACTCTCTCTGAGGATGTTAAGACTGGGTTGTTAGAGCGATGTAGGCAGTTTCTTGTGGAATGTGTTAAATCAGTTCTCAAGCGATTCCCTTCAAATATGAGCGTTCTTGAGAACCTCCATCTTCTGCGGTGCAGCTAAATGGAGAACCTGCCGTTTCATGATTTTTTTAAAGCCTTTTCGAGCCTGATTCGATCAGCCGACGTCAGCTTAGTAGAGTCAGAGTACCGTCTCTTACAAATGAAACTGAAAGAGCTACAGGAAGAGACAGTTTGTAAGTTCTGGATTCGTGTGTCGAGTGAGACTGATTGCGCTGGAAACCGACTGTTCCCGATGTTGTCCGATGTTGCACTCTCTATGTTGACACTGCCTATGTCAAACGCAGCTGTTGAGCGCGTGTTCAGCCAAGTGACTCTTACGAAGACCGATCTGCGGAATCGGATGAGCATTGACACGCTGGAGAATGTCTTGCACGTAAAGTATGGTCTACGCAGCAACGGTAAATGCTGCTGCACGGATTTCCAACCGTCTGAGGCTTTTTTAGAGAAGTTCACTAGTGATGTCATGTACGCGAAAGAGTGCGAATCGTTTGATGACTGACAATGTGAAATGTCGGCAAAAATCTTTAATAAAAACGATGTAGTTGTGTTTGGCTATTTTGGGCTATTTTTTGTTTAGGGGTTTGGCTATATTTGGGCTATATCCCCCGGCCGTTTGGCGGTTTTTTGTTGGGACCATCTGGCAACACTGCGGCCGGCCTGTCCAGATCCGGCTCCTCGGCTGCTGGCCAAGATGGCGGCAGCCATCCTCCCGCTGCCTGGACTCGTCCTCGGCCCAGCAACACGTGGCATCCAGTCGCGGACCCAGGCTGTGGACCCGTGCCGACAGCAAGCAGCTCGCATCCCGTCACGCACCCAGTTGACAGTGCCCGTGCCACTTGGTGTGTCCCCCAGGAGAGACGCCCAGCCGCCGTACTTTCTGTGATCCTTCGAACATTTCGTCATGGAGTGTCCGGGCCGTCCTTTCTGCACAAGCCAGGCCACTACACGGACATTGCAACGCTACTCCCGGTAAGCCTGCCAAGAAGCGTGGGCTGCAGAGTTCGGCTGCACCCGGGGTCCACTGTCAAGCAGCGAGCTAGAGTTTTCAGCATGTACCGCGCTGATCGTTTTTTTATTTCTTTGTTTTTCTTCGCGGCATGCTCTTTCGCTCTAGCGTTTCGTTTTTTTGTTTTTTTTTGTTTTTGAGAGCCGGTAGGCCATTTTATTTTTAGGCCTACCTTAGCCTTGAGAAGGGGGGAGTGTGGGAACCATTGGGTTCCCTCTATCCCTATCCAGGCCTAGCTTCAAGCAGGCCGTGGGAGTCGTCGTCACCAATGGCGTCGGCCTCCCGGATACAAGGAACCACGAGGCCGAATTCCCCGAAGGGGCCGGCTCTCCCTTGCCCATTTGGGTGAACGCGCCTTCGGCACACCCTTGAGAGCTATGATGGACGCGACTGCTAGTGGCCTCCCCGGGCGCGTCCATTCTCCGAGGCTACATAAGCTGGCCCCGAAGGTGGGCCAGGGGCTCTCGTCGGCGGAGGCCCTGGCTCTACGGAGCTCGGTTTTTCTTTGTGGGCCTCCGACTTCCCGTGATTCTGTCTAATGCGGCAGCGCGGGAAACCGACCGGGTGATACTGGCAATTGAGCCAGCGCCCAGACTTTTCATTGTCTAAGAGCGAAGCGTGCTGACATTGCAGTCAATAAACACGTCTTTATCCGAACCCGAGGAACCTTCTTTGTGTTTATAAGTGGTAACCCCCTCAAAGGGCAAATCACCACAAGGGGTACGGAAAAAAAATTTAAATATTCAAATTTCGTTCGGAAATGAGTCAAGCATGACGGATAATAATCGGAAATGATAATCGCAAGTTTGTATTTGGAACGACTGGCTATAGTTTTCGTTCCAAACGGTGCACTCGAGCAAGCGCTCGAAGAGAAGCGAACGGAGAGCGCGATGTGTCATGGGATATCCGGCGTAAACAAAAACAGAAAGGATTCCCCGCATTCGTGACAGCGTGGTTATAAGCTTTGCCCTTGGTGGCGTTGTCAGCGTTGTGGTGGCGTCAATAGCGTCAGCGCGTTACAACCGAGCCGTTCGAAGTACCCGTGGGGTGACGAGCGTGTGGCTGGCCCAAAAAGCACGTAGCTTCCAGAACACTGCCAGATTAGGGCTGAACGGGGTGGGGAAAGCAACTTTTGTTCGGGTTTTGAGCGACGGGCTTATCTCTAGAATAGCTGTTTCCGGTTGCATGAACGAGGGTCCGAGAAAGAGGGGAGTCCTTCCTTTCCGTCTTCTTGGACCGTTTGGTGCAATGCGCGATTTGTGAGCTGAGCTAGGAGGAAAGCTAAGAAGGAAAACGTTGAAATTCCAAAGGGTGGCGCTGCTCCGAAGGAATCTGTTGCGTCACGACCACGTAGCAAGTTACCCAACGTTGCTAGATTACCTCCCGAATACTGCTGCATGTATCCACCAGGTGCAGATTGAAAGATCGTTTATTTAGCTTTAAAATTAGATTTCTTTTGCCTTTCAACGTAAGACTGGTGTTTTTGAGGTTCGGGTGCAATAATGAAAGAAAAAGGAGAAAATGAGAAAATGAAAAAATCAGAAAATGAGCGCTGAAATTTTGTTTCCGTACACCCTTAAGGCCTCGACGAGCCGGGACGGGTCAGGATGTTGAAACTTGAGCGAAGATTGAATACTCCGGTGCCATGCTTTTAGGTTGTTGTAACGGCAATGTATATGTTGAAGACCGAGCGGAGCCTCATCTAACAGAAGATCGATCGACGGACAAAGAGGATGCACCCGATCGGGTTCAAAGCCATACGCCAGCTTCTCGCGTATGGCGTTTGTTTACTGCATGTAAGCTATATGTAAAACAAGCGTGTACATCAAATAAACTAGTACTTTACGAGGTTCATTAAACTCGTCATTTGTGATCTTCATTCTTCCTTTGGAAAAATAGGGTGCCGCATTTGTATCGATAAATAAAGTTTATGTTTTAACAATCAATCAGTCACTAGAATGACAGACAGACATCTAGCTCAATTGGCTTGGTATGTAAATGTTTTATATTCCTTACCATACACGAAAACCTATAAGTAGGCAATCGAATTGCGGTGGCTTAGCTCGGCTATACCAGGATATACGTAGCGTGAACTTCTGCGCAAAAAATGAGAGGCGCTATCAAGCGGCTCCGGTGCAGCGTCAGACTTGGCTACTGCGCAACGGAGGCGCATAGCTGGGCACGCGGCGGCGCCAGTGCGTCTGCCGCGGCTGTGACCTCACTTCTCTGGTATGTGCAGACCGGCGAGGCGCGCGCGGTGCCGGCGGAGCGCGCGGAGGCGGCGTCTCTGGCGCGCCAGCTGTGCGCCGTGTGACGTCACTGCTCCTCGCGCTTGCGCAGCACGGCTCATTATGCGAGCCACGCGAAACAAATCAACCTCGGCCATTGTAGCTCACGCTACAAAAAATGACGGCGCAGATAAATACATAATGTCAAATAACGGTCATGTTCTACTTTGTCTCACCTTAGCATGGACTAGCTGCGAAGGCTGTGCAAACGCGAAGGGCTAGCATTCACTTCCTTCAATGAAGCCACAGTCATAGCCTCATATATAGCGACAAAGCCTGGCAGATCGCCACGAGAAGCGGCCGCCGGAAGGGTAAAGGTGGAGCGGCAGGCGACGAATGAAAGGAGAGCCACGTGACTGGCGCCCCGCTGCGGCGAGACGACGAAACACACTTCTCCCGAGCAAGCGAGTGTGTTTCGGATCCCCAACGCTGCCAAAGTTTTGCGCTGACATCCAGGTTCCCCTAAAGCTCCTCTATCCTGGGAAAAACGGCGCCATTCAGTGTGATGGAAATGCTCGAGACACGTGCCGCGCTCCACTTCTGGGAAAAACATAGCCACTGAAATCTATCGCAGTGCTGCGCTGTGCCGCCATAATATTCCCATGGGCTGCACGTTGCACGTGCGTCGTGCATCGACGCACCTCGCGCTATTTTTAAAACATGAAGGGGCTTTAGCTTCCCCGAGAAATGGCTTTTTGATGGCTTGTGCTACCAGATCCTAAAGCTCGAAATCTGCGACTGGGCACTCTATGGCTCCGTTGTCGAAGTGCCAGGCTTTGTGAGTGTAGAGGAGGCTATGCCATAGCCTCTGGAGCACTCGCTGCACGAGCGCTCGTGCGGGCGCCGAGGGTTCGTCCAAAACAACTAGTTCGCTTTAAATGAGCTGTGCAACAATTTCAGGGCTCTGCTTAAATAATTGTGGAAGTTGATGCCTGATACTTCTGAAGTGAACTACCGAAAACAGATTTCGCCTGGATACCCTAGTTTTTATTTTAAAAAGATGAAAAAGATCCAGGCTTTTGCCGCCTCTAAACTTGTACGTCGTCTTCCGGGTCACGTGCGCAGTGGCGTTGATGGGGTAGGCGCGGGGTTCCGCTAAAGTTCTCTCTTTACAGCCATCAGTGAGCAGAGAGAACTCATCCGCTCGCGACCGCGTGGCCACGTGCTAGCGAGCGCCGCGCAAACAATGTGGTGAAAGGAGGAAAGTCTCATCCGGGTTCGGCCATACCCGTCCCAAATACTTTACTAGAGGGAATACATTCCACTCCCCTCATTTGCAGAAGACAGAACGCCTACAGAGCCGAATCCAGCCCTGACGGATCGGAGGTTCGCTTCAGTCCACGCGCATGTACACCTGGATGTTCATGGCGGCCGAGACGGTGTTGTCTCCGATTCCACCTGAAGGACTTCCATTTTTTAAAAGTAGCGCAAGGTTCGTCGATGCACGATGCACGTGCAACGTCCAACCCTTGGAAAGATCATGGCGGCACAGCACAGCAAAGTATTTGGCGCAGCATTGAGCTAGATTTTAGAAGCCACGTTCTTCCTAGAAATGGCGCGCGGCACATGTCTCGAGCATTTCCACAACAATTAATTTGATATGTAGAACGACCATCGTCATCACCATCACCATTTACCGCCCGATAGCCGAGATCTCTCCGACAATAGATGGCTCTCATCAAGCCCAGAAAACCTGTCCACACCGAGGCTATAGACCATATGCAAAAAAAAGCGCCATCTAGTGTA